TCTGAAGATGACGACGATTTAGTTGACAGTAGTGAAGAAGAATCTGAAGATGATGACTGTTCAATTGACAGTGATGAGTAACGTCTGCTGCCACATATGTGGTGATCTCTCTACAATCATTTTGAAGTTTGCAATGACTGACATTATCAGTTGCGAGTGGTTATTTTCCTCTTTTTTGATAATTTCGTAGTTTCAGTGGACGTGTGTGTGTGTGTCCCTCTTTGCTTTAGTGAAGCTTATGAGCGTGTAAGCTCCAGAAACAGAGTTCCAAACATAAAACAACAAACCCAAAAAACAGAGTATAAGTCAAAAGCGTCGCCAAACCATGCACACTGATTCTTCTCCCCTCGGAATGTAGGATTGATATTGCTCTGGAAGGCTAGCTTATTAGCTTCATGAGGAATCACTCCTATAGTCCAAACATTGAATTCATTAAGGTAGTAGTAGTTGATTTCGGAAATCAACATGTGAAAGAGTGGATATGTCTCTGGTTGAGTCACCCACTGAACCACCCGCGCTGATACCGAATCTTCATGACTGTTGGTCATGATCACCTACCAGAAGGAAGGAATCTTCATGGCCAAGAATTATTTGAGTAAAATATGGGCCTAGTCCCAATATTTCATTAGAATATTGGGCTTATTATACAGGACTGTTTCCGAAAATATATAATACTACGAGGACGAAATACTGTAAATTAGAGAGAAGCCACCGAAAGGTCCGATACTAAACGTGAAGCACTTGTTATATTTCAGTGACGTGACCTTTCTTTTTCTCCCTCAGAAAATGGCTTCTTCCTCTTCCATGCCTCTGCTGGTGAAAAACGAAGAGCCGAGAAACTGGTCGGAGCTTCCGCCGGAGTTGACGTTTTCGATCATGATCCGGCTTGACGCGGTTGAGATACTTGAAGACGCTCAGAAGGTTTGCAGAGCATGGAGACGCGTCTCTAAGAACCCTTCGCTGTGGCGGAAAATCGACATGCGAAGCCTGAAAACCCGCAAATTAGATCGTCACGACTTAGATAAAATGTGCCGTAACGCGGTTGATCGTAGTGAGGGCGGCTTGGTCGAAATCAGCATTGGCAACTTCTGCACCGATTCTCTCCTCAATTACATCGCCGACAGGTTCTCTCTACTCCTAAATGTTTCATGGAAATCTCTATATATATATATGTGTGTTTTATTAGAATAGTGGCGTCGATTTGATTCCACTCAGTATTTTGAGTGAGGATTTTAGGCAACAATTTGTTAGGTTAG